TTTTTGTGGCATCAGGGATCAAACTCAGGGCCTTGCACTTGCAAAGCAGGCACTTAGGCCATTGAGCTGTCTCCCTGACCCTTTTTTCTTCAGGATTTGTTCTGCAACCATTTCTTAGATTTTCTACAAAATTCCTGCATTCCCTGTTTCACATAGTTCTGCCCAAATTTTTATTATTACTTGTATGCTTGTTTTATCTGTGCATATATATTACAGCAGGCAGATGTAGAAATGTTTATTTTCAAAAATTACGCAGAAGGGATCAGATTTATTCATTGACACACAAAAATTCTGTGTCACATGTGCAACATGTAACTATTCATATTTTTAGTTAAATGTAATTTATATGTAGTTAAATGTTCCAGTTCCTATTTTTATTTAAATTTAAATGTTTAAGTTCATAATATAAAACATAGATAGAGCCTACATTCAGCTTCAGAACAACCAGATTTTATTACTTAAGACATCTTATTGTTTATAATTTTAACTGTCTGGATTCCTAATTCCAGACAAAAAACCCAGAAGTACAGGGATTCTGCCAAATAGTTCTCGGAGCATTCATGCAGAAATTGCTTTCCGGCATCTCAGAGAAATAAATCTTTCTCCACCTCCTTTGTCACATCAGAATGTCGCCTCTCCGGCCGCCCAGATGTACCAGAGCAACCATGAGGAGGAAAGGTAAGGCTGTCCCTCATCTGTGTTGCGAGGTCACTCATCACCATTTTATAAAGCCTTCCTGTTGGCCAATCCTCCGTGAAGGTAGGCGACCTTGCTGCACGCTCGCCCTGGTGGCTGAGGCAGGCTGTCAGCACAGCACGTCCTTGCTCACCCTCTCTGAGCCCTGAATATCTACCTCATGATCCACAGGACTTGCGGTGACCATCCAGGTGGAGGGCTAAGTGCCTGTGAGTGGAGTAACACTGAACCAATTACACAGGGGCTCTCTCTTCATTGTGTTCTCTCCCCACTCATTCCACACACTGCAGATGCAAAGCAGCTCACTTGTATCTTATACATCACGTAAACTCAGTGTGGACATTGTGAGGGCAGAGGCTTTTGTCAGCTCTTCAAAGCTTTCTTTAGAATTCCCACTTACTCTGCCTCCCGCCTGAACCAAGCCCCAGGACAAGCTTCGTCATAGCAGCTGCCTTACTTCCCACTTAAGAGTCCGCCCGCCGCTCAGCTCCTCCCCTCCTGGGCTCCCGAGGATTGCCCGCGCCAGCTTCTCCCTAACTCTGCTCCTGCTTGGCATCGAAGACTGACCCCAGCAGCAGAGCCCACTCGAGTTGGGCTCTTGCGACACCTCCTTCCCTGGCTGTAATCAGTTGTGTGTCAGCAAGTCCTCAGAATCACCCAATTGTAAATACTCCAGGACAGGACCATTTTCTCCCTTTATATATTTTTATGTCATATGCACATAAGAAATTATTTATTGCAGAATTACTTACACTAACTGAGCCATGAAGAGATAAAATCCCCATTGTTGATACATGAATATCTTATTTCTTACAGAATTCTGGGAAGCAACCTTCCAAGATCAAATCATGTGTAAATACTTGGAGAAAAATGAACATATTCCAGAAAACCTGTTTCTTTCAGCAGCTGTGCAAAGACCAGCAGACAGTAATCAGTAAAAAAAACAAAAACAAAACAAAACATGTTCCTCATGTTATTCAAACACTTCCATATGAAGATAATTGATCACTTTTGAAGTGATAAATTCTTGAAGAATTTAATATCACCTTCTTTCAAGCTTTATGGTTGTATCATCTGTTTGAATTTGTATACTAAAAAATCATGTACTATTGAAGCAGAAAACAATTTAAAAGATAAAAATGATAGCAAAGTCTAGAAAATCAAATGCTTCATTCTGGCATTAGAATTTAGTATAAAATCCCATTATGGCCTGGTACATGAAGATATGAAGAAATGGCAATTTTAAGAAATAAGCATGCTTTTGTAGATTATCTCTTTATTTGGAGTTATATTGGGGCTGGGGAAATGGCTCAGTAGGATAAGCGGTTGCCTGCCAAGCCCAAGGGCCTGAATTCAATCCCCAGTTCCACAGGAAAAAAAAAAAAATTTGCTGAGGTATTTGGCCAGCCCTGTTTCTTAGAAAAAAAAAAAAAAATCCTGCCTTTTAGGGGGCCTGCCCCATAGCTCAGTTCTTTAAGTGGCTGCTTCAACAAAGCGGTCAGGCTCAGGTTGCTGTGGTTCGATCCCCACGACTCAAGCCAGCCAAACCTGCCCTGAAGGCATTCGGAGAAAAAAGAAAAATCCTTCTGGAGTTACATCAAGTGAAAGCGTGCATTTCTTACCTAGCAGTTTTGTTTGTTTGTTTGTTTGTTTGTTTGTTTGTTGTTTTTGTGGAACCAGGGATTAAACTCAGGCCCTTGCGCTTGCCAGGGAAGGGCTTATTCCACTGAGCCATCTCCCCAGCCCGCCTAACAGTTATTACTAAGGAACACATTTTGCTAGATGAGTTTGCTACAGGCTTTTAAAAATACAGTTCTAAAACTCCATTCTCGGTCCAGGTTCTGAAAAAATAAATAAATAAATAAAAATATAAAAATAAAAACCCATTCTCAAACCAGATCTTCAAAATCATTTAGAAAAACAAATACTGTACATCAGTACTAGTCCTAAACATGACTAAGGCCTAGCCAGTTGTATTTCATATGCAAATTATTAACAGTCTCTCTAGTAATATAATTCTGCAAGTAGTTTCAGGCAGAAAAAGAATAAAGGTAAAAATTGAAAGAATATTTTGGACTTTCAGCAATCATATTCCACTAGGAATAATTTTTCTAAATTACTACATTGCCTAGAATATAATATATGAAATATGGTCTTGAGTTAGCTTGTTAAATATAATTTTTAAATTGATGACTAAAATACCGCCGTGTTTTTTTATAAATGGACTCTATGACTCAGCAAGCATTTCTTTCTTAAATATTGATTCAGCACTGTGTTTAGTTTTCATATATATATATGTTCCCTGAATAGCAATAAAGTTTTGATGAGACTATTTAGACTTTAAATTTACCTGAAAATAACTTCAAAGATATTATACAAATGACATAATCCTGACATATAAAATAATTTTTCTTATTTGAGTGCTGTCCTTATAACTTAATCATGTAATATTTTAGAATTTAAAATTAAATTAATTATAGATAAATTTTGCACTCCTTAAAAGGTGGTTTTCAAATCGCTACTAAACTCAGGTGCACAAAAGCTCCTTTGTTTAAAAAAAAACTGTAATTCTTAACACTTCCAGAAGGTGTCCTCACTGCTCTTTAGTTTTGCCAACCACTTTATCACCACTTTACATTAGCAGCCTCTTTTTCCTTTTGATTATTTATAAACGAAATGTAAAGTGTATTATGTTTATAATTAAGAGGATATTTTTAAATACTAAAGTAGGAAAAATAAATGCAGAAATGTTATTGCTGGAGAAAGTTCAGGGGAAAAATGTACAAAAGCAGAAAAGCCACAGCTTACATCACATCCATTTAACATTTTGCACATTTTATTTCATCCATCCCATGGATTTTTAATATATTTGAGTTCTTTGGTGTGATTTTCATATGCACATCAAACTTTGAGGTATAACTGTTATGTTTTCTAAATTTTAATTACATCTGAATTTATTCTTGAAAGTAAAATATTTTAAATACACAATCTGATGGTAAGACTAATAACATGACCTTAGGCATTGCCCAGTGCCAGGTAAAACAGAGCCAGCGGCTGACCTTCAAGGGCCTTCTCATACAGAACTTACCTTACGCAGGGCGGGGGACGCTAGCATGACTAGTGGAGTAGGTTTGAATCTTTTCTGTGTGGCATTAGAGTGTCACTGAAGTGATAGAGAAGCCATTGAAAATACCTAGATAGGTCAAGGTAAGGCTACATGCAACTCCTAAGGCAACTGCTGTAACTCAAGACCTTTGAGAAACACTAGAAAATACCTAGACAGGTCAAGGTAGGGTTACGTGCAACTCCTAAGGCAACTGCTGTAACTCAAGACCTTTCCTATTTAACAAAACAAATGAGAAATGCTGTTGAATATAGATGGTGTTTTGATAGGAGCCATTTTAGATTTGCTGTAAATTATTTTGAGTACATAATCCACAAACTGAAATTTTAAGTTGCAGCTACAAATTATTCGTAACACACTCAACAAACTGACTGCTTTAAGCCTACACATGCAAACCACTAACACATTTTAGTGCTGTGGTCATGACCTTCTGTAGCCAGCTTCATGTGTTGTGTCTTCATTTATCTGTAAAGCAGCTATGACAAAGAATAATTGTGCATACGCATCTAACCCTAGATTCTTTTCAATTCTAGATTATGTTTTCTTTTTTTTTTTTTTAATTTTATTTATGGGGGGGGCCAGCTCAGCCCACCAGGGGGCGGGGTGGCTGGCATGTGGTGCTGGGGAATTGAACCGCGGTCCCTGTGCTTTGCTAAACTTGTTCTAAGTAGGTGCTTTAGACCCTGAGCTATCTCACCAGCCCTAGATTATGCTTTCAATTGTTATTTTTTATTGGTTCTCTTGCAGTGCATGGTCACTGCATTCATTCAGGGGGTTTAGCACGTGCGCATAAGACATCTGAATTCTTTTCCTGTCTCCTTGCCCTACAGACTCTCATTGTTTCTTCATTTCAAGTGGATGGGCAATTAGTTACTGCCAGTGTGCTATAAAAGCTCCACATATTTAGTTTAGGTAAAATGTGTAATTTCTACACTAAGGTATTATCTTTATCTTTTTTTTTCTCCTAGAAAATGTCTTGTTGGATTTATTTTGCATGCAGTCATATGCATGATTATATGACTTGTTTTCAATGTTTAATTCTGTCTTTTTTTTTTTTTTTTTTTTTTTTTTGGCAGAACTGGGGATTGAACTCAGACCCTTGTGCTTGCCAGGCAAGCGCTTATTCTACTGAGCCACCTCCCCGGCCCCTCAATGTTTAATTCCAAAACCACCTATCAAGCTATAAGTTGGGATACTGTAACTTTAGGCTAAAAGACTACAATACTGAACCGAATATGGGTGGTTTTGAATTGATTTTCTGATTTTTACACATGAAGGTTAACCATAATTAATTGTTCAATAAAAACTTGATTATCTCTGTTTTTATAGCCCTGGATTTTTCTTTTAACCCGAAGTTATCTATGGTTGCGCATATGTTCTTGTCTGTACTGTGCATTATGTGCTGGATTTCGTGCGCGTATGTTGCGCGTTATCTCCACGGGCACCATTGACTAGCTTTAAAAGAATCGTGTACTGTACACGTAACACACGTTATCCGTATTCAGCAAGCCACCAGGCATTATGGAAAGCACTTAGTGTTTTAAAACATTAGATCTTAGTCGTGTTAAAGGCTCTTAGTTTCTATTATTTAATACTTTAAAAAGGAAGTAAATGATAGAGTATATGAGTAGAAGCAACCGCTATGGCCCAGGTTCTACTGGTGTTAAGTGAATCAGATCGAATCATTTTGTTCTGAGCTAGACCCTGGCTCCGTTTTTCTGCTGTATCTGCTGTGCATCTAGGGACTCTGGAACAGCTCAAAAGATTTCACTCTTGTTTCTCTTTCTGCAGTTTCCTGTAATATTGAAATACTTTTATAGAAAAACCTGTTCCCAATTGCAATTTAAGTTCACAGCTGCCTTCCAGAAATAGGTGAGCAACAAACATAGGGTTTTTGTTAGAAACATTTGACTTCTACATATTTGTTTCTTACAAAAAAAAAAAAAAAAAAATCAGGCATAGAATGCTTCTGTTTTTCTTTTTGCTATTATTTCTGAATAATAGCAAATTGTTCTGTGATTTGAAAACATTTCTCATACTCGACTTACACACGTATTTTTTTCTTTTTTAAAAAATATATTTGGTTGGTAGAGGTTCTCACCGTGCTGCTCGAATTCATAGTGATCCTCCTGCTCTCAGCCGCCCCGGCGCTGGGACTACAGGCATATGCCACTTCCCCCGACTCTGTGGCTGGCTCCGCCCACTCAGCATGCGATGCCCGGAATTGAACTGCGGTCCCTGCACTTGCTTAAGCTTGCCTAAGTGCTTAAGCAGGCACGTTAGTCTGCTGCGTTCTCTTGCCAGCCCAACTTACACACTTGCTATCTTAAAATTTTATTGATTATTTTTCTTTGTGATTAAGATATAACAATTAATAAAGACCTATGAAATTTGTAACATAAAAATAACATATTCAAAGAAAATTGTATCTTTGGAAGTACTAATTACCTGGAATTAAATTTTTTACCTTTTATATTTTATTAGCCCTACCCTGACTGTATGATCTTTCAGGTAAATCAAAACACAAATTCATCAGTATTGTCATGTGCCATGTAAGATTTCAGTGACTTTGAAAATCTTTTAAAGTTGGAACAGATTTTTCTTTACATTATATCTTTAAATATAACATTTCTAGATATTCTAAATAAAACTTCAAAGCAAAGTGACATTTTGACGTTTTGTAAATTAAGTACATCTTAATCAGACATGAAACTAGAAATAAATGTGAAATA